CATTCGCTAAGGATTAATATTTCTATGCGTTGTGTTTCATTTAGGTGAACCATAATTTAGTATTCAAAAGTAAAAATTACAATTGACAACTGATGACAATTCACAAAATCAAAATACTTACGTCAATATCACTTGCTTGAATTACCATTTGACAAAATGTTTCAATGTTTATGAGATACCTTTTTGTGTCCATTTGTATTTTTACTTATTTTTGCTTTTTTAAGTATTTACTTCAGAAAGTTATGTCAAATTAATTTACAATAAAGTTGCAGAAGTACAGAGACAAGATTATAAAAATCGGTTTAACCAAAAATTAAAATAAGTACCAACCTGTACTTGGTTTACAAGAAGCTACTCGCACAGCTTTTATTTAAATAATAAATGTTGATATACTGAATGTAAATATTATTTGTTAATAAAAAGATATGAAAGTAACTTAAAGTTCTGAAAAGGACAATAGATAAAATCGTTGTTCCTTAGAGAAATGTTGTCGAAAATAGCCCGTAGTTGTAGAGGTAATAATAATAGTAACACCACTTACAGTAACTCTAGATGATGTTGCCTCTTAAAGCACACTGAATTTAAACTGTACTCAACTTTAGTATCAAACACTGAAGTTTATTTATAATGTGTATTTGATTTTCTCGGGTGTTAGATCAAACTACTTGAGATACAAAAGAAGTGTATATACACAATTATAGATAAATTCCCAGAGAAAGGAATACGTCCAAACTCTTAGGCGACGCAACCCAAAGTCAGTCCAATCTCAGTCTAGTCAACAAAAAATGGTCCTCTATTTCTCAAATTGGACAAACTATCCCCTAGAACAAGATCATCCCCACTTAAAGAACTCCCTATTAACAAGAACCGACTTATTTTCATTTTCGGCGGAAACATATAAACATAACGATATTTTTTAAAAAGGGAGAAGAATAACTGTACCATATTAAGGGAAAGATTATTTTTAAAGTAAAGCTATTTGTGAGAAGTCTAACTAATTTTATTACTCTCTTCCTAGCGTTATCAAAAAAAGGGGCCTTAATGTTCATTGTTCCTAAAAAAATGACGATTGCTTTCAAATTTCTAACAAAGCAGCCATCATGTAATCTGCTTTTTTCGGTATTTCTTTTAAGAAATAAAAAAGCTGAAAGATATCGAAGAATTAGGTCTATAAAGGTACATAATCTAAAGTACCGTTACATTCTCATAAAGGACTATATCGGGACCTCTATTCGTTTCGGCGAGGTGCAAAAGGGAAATTTTTTGATATGACGATTGCCGTAGCTGCGATAATTGCAATTTAACGGTTTTTAAAATTAATCTTAAAGTAATATATAATAACTAGTTTATAATCAGATATTAAAAAACCTATTATTATTTTAAATCGGATCTAATTAATTCTCCAAAGATTTAAATGAAGGTCTACAATATCCACAAATAGTTGCAGGTTCGGTTTAAAACAATACACCATGCTGTAAATCGGTCCTGAGTAATTATAGACAAGGTGAAAAGCTCAGGTTTGTTCAGAAAAATGTTACCATGAGATTTTTTTACATAATCACTTTCGTGAGATACCCCAAAATAAGGTTCAAGAGGTCGCCCAGACGAAAAATTATTTAAATTTTTTAAACGTCTTTTTTTAAGAAATTATAAGTATTAAATTTGTGGTCCGGACAAAGTATTTTTGAACTTTTTTGATTATTCTGAATAAAATACGTCTGTTCTAATAATAAAATTTTTCTGTTTACTTATTCGTTTTCTAGTTATAAACAATTTAAAACTGAAAAAAATAACAAAAAATTACTATTTTCAAGGCTTAAAAAAACAATTAAGACATATTATTTTTGAATTCACCAAGGACCTTAATTTAAGTTCAAACCTTGTTCTATTATTTTCCAATAAGTATTTAGGCTTATATAATTAAAAAAAAAATTTTAATCCTTAATGAGGCACATATGACAGGACAGAACGGATAATATAAAACTACGGATAATATAAAAGTTAAACGAGGAGTCTGACAAGGCGATATAATTTCACCTAAACTGTTTACCTTGACCCTCGAAGACATAATAAAATCAATAGATTGGGAAAACAGAGGAATATGTATTAACGGAAAATACCTAAATCACCTTAGATATGTGGATGATATACTCCTGATCTCCTCGGAACGACAAGAACTGGAATTAATGCTGAATGAACTTCATGAAAGATCACTGCAAAAAGGCCTAAAAATTAACTTCAACAAAACAAAAGTAATGACAAACACGGAAGACTAAGAGGCAATAAAAATACAAACAGAAAAAATAGAACAGGTAAATGAGTATATCTATCTAAGACAAGCAATCAGAGCTAACTGAGAAAATCAAACAGCCGAAATATTGAGACGAGTAAGAATGGGATGGGGAAGCAAGGTATATAACTCCTGTATAATACCGGTGCTCACCTACGGAACACAGACATGGACATTTACACAGGCCAATTTGAAAAGAATAAGGAAGGCACAAAGAGCGATGGAGAGACAAATGTTGGGTGTATCACTTAAAGATAGAAAACGTAACCAGTGGATCAGAACCAGAACAAAGACAGTAGACGCGATAGAACAAGCAGTAAAACTTAAATGGAAATGGGCTGGACACAATGAACGTCTCTAAGACGGACGATGGAACAATGCCAGCGGAAAGTGGCGTCCATACAATGCAAAAAGATCAAGAGGCAGACCACAGATGAGGTGGAAAGATGACATCAGGAAACAAGGAGGTCCCACATGACAGAGAACAGCTCAAGATAGGGAAAGATGGAGAGAACTGGGGGAGACCTATATCCAACAATGTAAGGATAGAGAATAGGTTCAAAAAAAATGAGAGTACCGGCGCTGGGTCTGCGGGGTGTATAAGAGAGAGAAACACGGCAACTATGGCATACATGTTTGCTGGTTGTACATACATGTAACAGCTCAGTTACCAGCTGTAGTCCGTTTGAAGAGGTTCACGCTCCGGACACTGGAACTCACGTCAAACATGTTACCTGAAGTCAAATTCAATTAAATATTTAACATCGCATTTTAATAACAACAATATGTACAATCTTTAACAACTACATGTAATTTAAAGGGTTTTTAACCTGGTATTTTGGTGGCTCAGGCATTTTAACCTAGCAATTTTAAACCTGATGATGGACTGTTTAGTCCGAAAACGTTTGTTTTTTTGATGTAGCCCTTTTAAGGGTTTTTTTAAATAGATATACCCATTTACGAAGACTAACCTCTTTTTTGTGATACGTGGTATACAGCCAGCTACAGCAATTGTTTTTCTTGTGGATTTTATTATTTTTAAAATCATCAAGTGCCTAATTTTAAGTTCAAGCTTTTTTCTATTAGCTCCTGACGAAAATTCTGGACTTATTTTATTTTAAGACATTGTTTTTAAATTTGAATAAACCGCAGATGGTAGGGCGAACGCTTATTTGTACAATTAAAATTCACACTAGCAAACATTTGTGCCATAGATCTTGTTTCTTCTTCTTCTACACGTCGCAGGCCGAGCGCCCGTACTGTTGTAAGCCATGATACTATAAACTACAGATAAACCCACGCGCACGCGATCAGTCGTGTGACGTCACTTGGCGACAAATGTCACCAGAAATGTTCTGTGTTGTATGGAGTTTTGTCAGATTTAGTCAAGGTTAGTAGATATTTAGGTATCTACTTAAATATCTACTAACCTTGAGATTTAGTTTTGTTTTATCGTTTATCTTGTACGTTGACATCGGTTTACTGGGTAAACCATCTTTCCGAAGGAGGTTTACTTAAACCATATCCAGATTTTCTAATTAAATGTAATGAACTGGACCATATTTTTAACAATTTTAACAAAAGGTCATTAAAATTAACCAAGAATTATTTAAAATCGCTAATGGATTTAGCTGTGTTCAGATGTAATGTTAGTAAAGGTGTAAATTATATTTTAAAATTAGAAAATTGAATAGATATATTAAAGAAACATCCAAAGTTAAGAAGAAGAAAATATTAAAAATTGTAAAATAAATTGTTAAATAAACTTGTAAATTATTACAGTGTATTTTATTTTATCAGTTGTATTAAATTTTTATTTTAATAAATCAATCCATTGTATATAAATTTCCATTTGCAAAAAGGTGTTTAGTTCTTACTTTTTTAAATAATTTTAGTTTACATTGCTAGGCTAACAGAGATGTAATAACATATTTTTAAGATTTAATTGCAGATATTTTACCTAACATCCCTTAATATTCTAAATATTTAAATAAAAACCCCTTTCTTTCCATATATGTTTTACCGACTGTGATGATCAAAGGTTGGTGATAAAATTGACTTTTATCACCAATTGACGTCATGCGCGTCGATGTACAAAATTCGATTGCGAAGTGGGTTTATCTTGGAAGTCTTAGTATCATGGTTGTAAGCCCTTCATTGACGATTAAAATAAAATGTTTTGAAATTAAGTAAGTCTAATATATTTATAGGTAAATGATATAACAAGGTTTGAAGTTGAATTTGGGTCCTTTTTAAATTTAAAAATAATTTTTTTTAGCTGTGTTTTTTAGCCTTGATAATAACTCGAGGAATAAACAGGTAGCGTGCGTCTTCGAATAAATATAGAGGATACGAAATACATGCTAGTAACTAAAAATCCAAGACCAAGACTTAGGTAGAAAATAATTATTAATAACCACAACTTCGACGTTATATCATCATCATCATATAACGGGGGTCCTACGGCGATTGCCGCTTCCCGCATTTCAGCCTCCATCTTTTCCTATCTCTCCAATCTCCATCTTCTTACCCTCTAGATTGCATTGTTTTTGTAATATTTCTTCTCCAGGAATTTGGTGGTCTTCCCCTTTTCCTTCTTTCTGGCGGAACATACATTAAGGCTTTCGTTGGCCACCGCTCCTCCTCCATTCTCATCACGTGACCATACCATTGTAATTGCCTTCCTTGTATTCTATCTGAAAGAGTATCTCTAATTCCTGTACGGTTTCGTATTTCCTCATTCCTAATTCTTTTCATTCTCGATACTCGACATGACCTTCATTTCCACAACGTCTACTTTATCTCGTGCATTCTTTGTCATCGTCCAACATTCGGCACCATATGTGGTAATCGGTTCTACAATTGCTCTGTATACATGAAGTTTGGTATGCATCTTTATTTTATTAGACCACAGTAATGAATTCAGTATTCGGATGCATTTTTTCCCTTGGGTTATTCGGTTTTGTACATCTATCTTGACTCTGTCATCTGCTGATATGATGCTTTCTAGATATTTATACTGGTTGCAACCTTTTATGACTGCGTTTTCAAGCCTTAGATCTGTAGTATTTTCTCCAATTTTTAAAAATTCTGTTTTGCTTGTGTTTACAATAAGCCCCCATTTGAAATATTCCTCAAATAATTTTCGATTCATATAATTTATATCTTCCTTATCGGTTGCAACCACCACCTGATCATCTGCAAACAACAATGTATACACAGTTTCTTGTCTCACTTCGATGCCCATAAATATACATTTATTTCTCCAATTCCTCAATGCTTCTTGGACGTATATTTTAAAGTGTTTTGGTGACAAACAGCATCCTTTCTTTATGGCTTTAGTGACTTTAAATTCATTTGAAGTTCTGGTTCCAATTTTTGCACAACTAACTGCATTTTCGTACAATTTATATATCACTCGGATATACGTCGAATCCAATCCGGACCTTTCGAGGACCTCAAAAATTTTCTTTAACGGGACACTATCATATGCTTTCTCAAGGTCTATAAATACCAAATAGGTCTCTTTACTTCTTTCGACACGCTTTTCAATTATTTGTCGTAGGATAAATATATTATCAAGGCAGGATCTCCCGGTACGAAAGCAATATCTTGTATCTGTCTTTGAACCCTCTTCTTTAATATTCTGCCGTACAACTGGCCCACAGAGCTCGTCACACTAATACCTCTATAATTAAAAAAGCCTTTTTTATTCCCTCTCTTATATATGGAGCTTATATAAGATTTATTCCAATTTTTAGGAATTTCCTGGTCTCCACACCTTCACACTACGACGTTATAAAACAGTTTAAATATCTGGGTACGGTAATCGCAGACGACAACAATATAGAAAAAGAGGTCTTAGCAAGCATAGCTACGAAGAATAAACGAGAATAGACCATTATACTATATATGCCTATCATCATTATTAACATCTATGCTACTAAAAAGAAAATCTAAATTAAGTCTGTACAAATCAATTATTCGCCGAGTTGTTACATCTGGAAGTGAAACATGGACTCTACATCAGCAGGAAATAAATAAGCTGCTGGTATTTGAAAGTATTTTGAAAGAAATGTTCTCAGAATAGCACTTGGACTTTAAAGAGATAGATTGACAGGGAGTGGAGAAGGCGCTCCAATGCTGAATTGTTGACTCTCTATGGTATTTAAAACATCGTCAGACATATAAAAGTTAACCGGATAAAATAGACAAGTCATGTGGTAAGATCAGAGAAAGACGGAGTGTTAAAGACAGTGTTTTTGAGAGACCAGACGGAAGAAGATCAATAAGCCATCCCAGAAAAAGATAGAAGGATGATGTTGAGGTCTTTTATCTAGGATTGGGGTACAACAAAGAAAAATGAAAGCGCAATGTTGTAGAAGATGAACGGCTATAGTAGATGCGGAAAAAACATACCCCGAGTTATAATACTAGTCAAGAAGAAGAATGAGAAATTATATTTGTTGCATTTTTTATCAATGCTTTTGAATCTGTTTTACAGTGCTATAATTTTTGCGAAAACCTACCTATTCGGAAGGTTGATAGATGTCAAATTTATTAGATAGCCATTTAGTAATAACTGTTGTGGGACCTTTGTATGGATGAGAAAGTAGGCATATGGGTTGGTACTTTTCTATGTTATGTTTTTCGTCCATTTTGTGCAATAACATTTTGCAGCTGTCTGGGCTCTTTCAACTGCTTTTTTAGTAATCCGTCGTCACCAATGGTTGATGACGACGGATTTACGGTTTAATTTGAGATAGAGCGTGTGAAATTATCTTATTTGCGATGGCTGGTAGTTCTTTTGAGCTTATCTGTCTCATCTGATCTCTTGGTAACATAAATCAGTCTTACGCGTGAGGTTATGGTTGAGGTCATGGTTGAGGTATATAAACTTTGATAGAAATCTTCAATTATTTTTGTAATTTCAAATTTCTCAAGTTTAACTTTGTTCTATTTATCTTTCGTTTGAGTTATTGGCGTTTTTCCCGGTGTGTTAATAACACATTACTCACTACTTTTATACTTTTGTTGTTTTCTATAATTGTTCTTCGAGAATTTGAAAGAATCGACGAAAATTTAAGTATAGAAGAACACTGGACCAAATGCAAGAAATCTTATATACACTGACATGTGTCAGTGTATACAATAATTTGTCAATTTGATTTTTTACACCATGTATTTTTTGATATTTGATGCAATCAGTGAGTTGTGTGTAATATTGTCACCTGTGAGTAGAACATCTGCGAAAGACAAATCAACTTTTTCCTGATGATGAAAATAAACATTTTCGAAAGCTTGAAACTTAGTTAAAAGAGTACACTTATTTTATCTCTGTGTATCTGTGTGTATATATATATATATATATATATATATATATATATATATATATATATATATTTAGGTAAACCGAGTACGTACAGAGATAACGTGTAAGGAGAACGATAATGTGATAACGATATTGAATATAACTTAGTTGACCTTTGTTTCCAAACACCCTGAAACTCAGAAATCTGTCTATTACAATACGTAACAATGAGTAACATTTCCACCTCGAAGAGTAACACAGCTGTTATTTATGTGCAGAGTAACCCCCGAAAATTCTATGCCCGCACGCAACTTTAGTAAGTGAGCTATTATTACCAGAAAATGGAAAATTATTATAGAAATTGATGTCACGGCGTGTTCAGCAAACATTACGGGTTTGGTGTGGTTGTATTCTTGTTTATGTCATTCGCGTAACTTTTGTTTACGCTGATATTTATTATTCATCTAGCAATTTAAAATGTTGTTGATGGATTAGTGAAAATAAATATTAGTGAAACTGTTGATGTATTAGTGGAATATAAATATTCCTAGTATTTCCCTGGACGATTTAATTAAGTTTGGGTTTACAGTTTACTTTAATCCCTATCGACACTAACTTCATCTTTCCTCGTTGGACGTTGCTAAATGCATACTTTGTTATATTATTTTACTATAATAGATTACAAGATAAAAAAGCATAAACGAAATTAAGTAAAATTAAAAAAACTACATTTTGTCACTATCACAATGTTGAAGATTCCTAATCACAAAATAAATTCTTACAGGTTTGTAAATTTAAAGATGACAGAAGAGTCTGTGGCTAATGTTCCAGCTAATGAGCTCGGTTGAGCGCGGCAATATTTAAATGATGAAATTATACTTTCTTAGGTACTATTTTTGTTTATACAACGGTATGCAACTGTTAAACAAAAACGAATAAGAAACGGAAACGATCCATGAAATTGAAGATGATCACATAGTATTAAAAATACCTGCAAAGCAAGAAATAGAAAACGAAATAAATGAAGTAAAAAACAATAAAAGCCCAGAAATAACATAAATATCAACTGAAATAATAAAAGCAGGAAGAAAAAGGATACATAAGGAGATAGATAATCTAATAAAAAGCATATATAAAGCAAAAAAATGCCAGAAGAGTGGGTCATAGCAAGAATATGCCCAATAAATAAAAATAAGTGACAAAATTAGATGGTAAAACTATAGAGCATCACGTTGCTAGAAGTAGTTTACAAAATCTTAACACAAATCATAACGAAAACGCTAAACTAATACACGGAAAATATATTGGGCAAATATCAGGTAGGATTTAGAACCAATAGGACGACTAAACTAAACTATTAACAAACAGATTAACAACTAAGTTAGATAATTACCAGTCCAGAGAGCAAGCAGGTTTTAGACAAGGATTCAGTACAAGCGGCCATCTGCTTACGATAAATATATTAATTGAAAACGCCAACAAATATCAAGTCCCAATGTATATGGCATTTGTAGACTTTGAAAAAGCATTCGATAAGGTGGAAAATTGGGCAGTAAAGAACTCTTTACAAAACGGGAGAATAGACTATAGATATACGGACATAATTTCCAAACAATAATATCCATTAAAATAGTTGAACAAACGGCGAGGAGTTATATTAAGGGTATAAAACGGCAAATATTAAGATACGGTGAGGAGTCAGACAGAATGATACTATATCACCCAAACTATTCAATTAAGCTTTAGAAGACGTTATGAGAAAATTACAATGGAAAAAACCGGGTATTAACATAAATGTCCAATACTTGAATCACCTGAGATATGCAGACGACATTGTATTAATAACGAATAAAAGGCAAGCATTACAAAATGTGATAGATCAATTAAATACCGAATCAACAAAAATAGGTCTACAAATAATTTATAATAAAACGAAAAATATGACCAACCAACCAGAAGAATTGATAATTACAATTGCACAAACAACTATACAACTCAGTAAAAGAATATGTATATTTGGAACAACTAGTTAAATTAAATAAAGAAAATCAGACCGGAGAAATAAACAGAAGGATACGGTTGGCTTGGGTATCTTTCGGAAAACTTATAGTTTTTTCTAGTTTTTAGTCCTATAGACTAAAAACTAGAAAATACCCTCAATATTTAAAAACTAAAGTCTTCAACCAATGACACTTCCTGTTCTAACCTACGGTTCTCAAACTTGGACGTTTACAAAGGAAAAAATGGAAAAATAGCAAAGACCCAAAGAGGCATAGAAAGGCAAATGCTGAACATCAGGCTATCAGACAAGAAAAGAAATACTTGGATCCGCAACAAAACAAAAGTAACCTATGTATCAACGCAGATAGAAAAACTTAAGTGAAAGTTCGCTGGACAAACCATAAGACAGAAAGACGACATATGGAATAAGATGAATATACACTGAAGAACATATAGTTACAAACGAAAAAGAGGCCACAAATTTGATGGTCAGATAACTTGAAGAAACAAGCAGGCCCGAAGTGGATACAAACTGCCTACAGTAGAGAAACGTGGAAGAAAGAAGAGGAGGCCTATGTCCAAAATTGGACAGCAAGGGTTGTATAGATAAATAGATCGACGACAGACAAAATATTTGTGCCAAAAGAAATACAGACCACGTGTTACGAACATCAACAGCAGTATACATATGTCCTGTTCCTCGACTTTGAGCAAGCCTACGATACGGTAAAGAAACAACAGTTGTACGAACTAATGAAAGAGTTAGCCTACAAAGTAAAATCGTCAGGATGGTAAAAATGACAATGGATAACACAACAAACGAAATAGCATGGAAAGGTCAT